GTTTTCCTCCTTGCCTTTGTTTTAAACTAAACTTTAAGCAAAAATGAGGCAGCACAAACATGCAATACATAGAAACAAAAAGACTTCTTGGAAAAAATATAAACATAATTAAGTATAAACATTTAAGAGACATAAATGCATGTACAAGTAAAGGAAAAACAATTAATATATATTTTAAAAAACAGTAAAATTTAAACTGTGTGTCAAAATCTATAGGTTCATTTATTGGAAATAACCTGGAAATATAAAAATGAAAGTCAATTAAAATATAAAACAGGAGATAAAGTTCTCATTTTTAAATTTAATTGGTGCATTTTAAGTGTATTTATTTAGTGGTTCATTTATATAATTCAGTTTTTATTTCTAATTATGTCAGTTTCGGTCCTCCATACTGCAGAAGCCTGATAATCTATTCATTCAAACCAGGTGTGTTGGAGCAGATAAACAAATAAAATATGCAGGGCTGGGGCCCTCGAGGACCAGGACTGCTCACCCCTGCTCCAGGTGATATGACATCTGTATAGAAAGGATAACAAAGAGGTGAATACTTTTGCAACTCACAGTACACAGGTGTCATATAAATCAGCCCAATGCAAGTGCAGCTGAGTTTCACAGTGCAAAATCAGGTTAGTTTGCTTCATTTTTCCATCAGTTTAGACCTTAGTTCTGAGCTGCTGGCACAAGATGAAAAGCATTGATTTATTTATCACCTTACATCCAAAATAAAAATGAAACAGAAATGTATTTTGGAAGTGGTCATTTACTGATTTTACATTGACTGTAATAGCTGAGAGTTACATTGGCAGAAGCAGCATGCATAGCGTTTTATGGTTTGTCACTTACATAAACACATTGATCAATGGTGTTCTAAAACTTCAAAATATCAAAGCAGGATATGTTTTGTTTTGATAATGACACGTTTTTAGTTTTCTGTTTGCTGTTAACCCTAATCCCAGTTCCTAAAGCAGCTCCCCAGCGCTGAACCTTCATGTAAAATCAGTGAGTTGTGTTGACAGCAGGGTGACACCTTGTGGACAAAGACAAGAAAAGCAACTTGGAGTAGACAGACACTCCTATCCAAGTCTGAAGCTGTATTAGCCTGCACTCTCCACTTAGTCTGCAAAGAGTACAGAGCAAAATATATAAATAAATAAAAAAATCTGCGTTTTAGTTGGAAGTATTGCAAGATGAAATGAAGGTTGTTTTGAATGCTGCGTTGAGAGGTTTGAACGTGGAGATCGCAGGATTGTGGCTGCGTGGTGGACACCCGTAGAACTAACCTGGGGGCCCGTCAGGCACCGGAGGGTAGATGACGCAGGGAAGACCGCCTTTGAGGACAGCAAATTCAGACAGCGGTTATGTTTTAAAGTCGGATTCTAGCTTGCCTTGTGTTCTTACCAACAATTTGGCTTCCTGTTCCACAAAATTTCTCCAAGTTGTAAATTATTTCATATGAACTACAGCTGAGGTGTAGAGTTATATCTATACAGAAGCTAATTATTACATCATTTTGTTTTATTGAGGGAATTGAAATAATAAAAAGGTGATACATTAATGATTTTACTGTGACAGAACACGCTGCATCCATCCTCATAACCTGGAAAAGGAAGGACCAGAGAGTTTTGGTGCTCAGCTTAGTGTTGGCATACCAGTAGGGCCCTGCGGTCCAGGAGGACCAGGGGGTCCAGAGAGTCCAGGGGAACCAGGGGGTCCTTCCGGGCCATAGCTCTGTATGCCCGGGTTACCCTTCTCTCCTTTTGGGCCGGGGCTGCCTGGAAAACCAGGGACTCCTGCAGAACCTGCGTGCATGAAACACGTTGCAGTTATACAGAGTGAGTCTAGGTAAATTCCTAATAATCCCAATTCCTAAATCTACAAACGTTGCTTCTAATTGCATTGACAAAGAGACAAGACAGAACAGGAAGTGTCAGAGCTGAAGCTGATGCTGAGGATTCTCCTTGGGAGGGACAAGGATGGATACGATTAGGAATGAGTTCATCAGCGGTACATCACAGGTTGAACAGCAAGGAGATAGAGAAAGAGTCCAGATTGAGATGGTTTGGACACGTCTAGAGAGGAGACAGTGTTTATATTGGTAGAAAGATGTAAGAGAAACAGCTGCCGGGAAAAAGACAAAGGAAGGCCAAAGAGACATCTAGATGCAATTAGAGAGGACATGGAGGTATTTGGAGTGAGGACAAAGGATGCAGATTGAGACAGAGGAGGACGACTCGCTGTGGTATCCCCTGAGAAGAGAACAGCCTCAAGAAAAAGAAGTCTACCAACATGTAAGTTCATTACCTATAACAAAACGACCCGGTTGGCCTAGAGGTCCTGGGTCTCCTGAGAATCCTCGTTCACCAGGGTTGCCTGGGAGGCCACTTAAACCCGCATCCCCTGGAAGTCCTGCAGCCAGCGACAGAAAGCATGATCCTCTCCTTCATATTTTTATATTAAGTCAAGAATAAGGCCTGTGTTACCTTGAATGGAAGTGCCACTTTCACTGACATAAGCTGGAGGTCCTGGGAGTCCAGGTTCACCTTGGTTTCCCTTAGAGAAAGGTCAGAACAACATGTCACAACCCAAAGATGAAGAAAAACAAGATTTGCTCATCTTGGCTACAACCTAGGCTAAGCTAAATTGTGAATTAGCCTCTAGAAAAGCCACTAAGCTATCTACAGGTAAAATGTCAATGGCTCAGTCATTCCACAGACCTCCATGTAGAAAGAATTTAAGTTTTTACTTTGAATTACTAAAATTTCTTATTTTATAAACGCTCATACTTCCATACTCTAAGTAAAAATACTTCAGTGTACACCAGAGATGGCGACTCGTGACTCAGACTTGAGTCACACTTAAGTCCCTGCTATTAAAGACTTAGACTTGACTTGGACTTGTGGTTTGAGACTTGTGAACAATGCAAGTCTTTTCACTGCCTGGCTCACAATTCTCACTCCCTCAGCACACAGCCATGCTCCGCTACTTTGAGAACAAATACATAAATTTTTAAGAGCAAAGACATTTACTCCTGCTCTAAAATTGAAAATATACACTGTTGATTAAAGTCAGAATAATTCTTCCATACACTCCGCCCCCTCTCACCTGAGAATAGGAGGGGCCAGCGCTGTCCAGTGTTAAAGAGTAACTTAACCCAAAATTAACTTTTTTAGCTGATAAACTGTCTAGAATGTGTCTGAAATGTTATATAGTACTGTTTCTGTGCTAAATGTGATGTTTTTGTGTGTATTTGTTCAAATCTGTAATATTTGGTCTAAAACGTGTTTTTGCTGCTCACATGGGTAGAGCAGTGGTACTGCAGGCTAATTTGCATATTGGTTAACGGCTCTCCACAGTGACGTGTCTTCTCCACGGTTTCGTCACAGCGACTGTGTTCTGGTATAAAAGCCTCTCTCTAAGACAGTGGTTCCCAACCCTGGTCCTCAAGTACTCCTATCCAGCATGTTTTACTTGTTTCCCTGCTATTCAGCAGGTCTTCAGAAGATTGTTAATCACTCATTCATTCAAACCAGGTGTGTCAAATCAGGAAAACATCTAAACATGGAGGAAAGGGGTCCTTGAGGACCAGGATTGAGAATCACTGCTTTAACACATTTTATCTGATTTATTATTAACAAATAAATGGCAAAGAATCAATGGCTTCCAGAGGCAATACTAAAAAACAAAATGAGTCATTATTATATTTTGAAAATGTCTCATGAAGCTCAGAGAAGCTCTTGAGGTGTTAGTCAACATTTAAATCAGTGGTTTTTATATGTTTGCCTGGTTTGACACACATGGTTTGAATGAATGAGTGATTAACAATCTTCTGAAGACCTGCTGAAGAGCAGGGAAACAAGTAAAACATGCTGGATAGGGGTCCTTGAGGACCAGGGTTGGGAACCACTGCTCTAAGACACGCCCCTGCAGCGGTCAGAGGGTGGAAGAACAGTTAGCAAGCTTAGCATGATCGTCTGTTGACCTTCAGCCTCGGGTAGGGAGAGCTGACTGCTGCGCTGCCCCCCCACCCCCCCACCACACACACACCAGCAGTACTCCTGCACAGCGGGAGGGGAGGAGGGAAAAAAAGGCAGAAACACGGGGGCAGCTGCAGCCCTAACGGACCGAACTTCAGTCAAACAAGACCCAACACTTTTATTCCTGATTTAAACTAGCGATCTTGTGAGCAGCTGCAGCTGTATGCTTTTACTTTTTTTCTGTCAGGCTGTCGCGGAGCGCTCCTCCTCTGTCCGAGGCTGGTGTGGTGTGAGGCGGACAGCTCAGCCAAGGCTGCTGGAGCTCAAGGTCCTGATCCACGGAGCCAACATGAGTCAGTCCCAGACTGAGCTGACTTGATCAAGTCTCTCTCTGCTTCTGGTGAGGAGGGGGGTGAAAAATCCTCCACCTCAGACCGTTTAGAGATGTAACTATCTGTGATACTGTGGTCACTCTCCATGTAGCATCAATTGTGCTAATGCTAGCTGTCACGTTCTCTCATCCTGGCCACACCTCCGCTCTCTAACCCACACCCCCTCCCCTACCCACTTTGATGCATTTTTCAAGGGTGTGGTTATCTTTTCACAGGGAGGGTAAGATACACTTTAAAGGGATCCTCGATTAGTTGTAACATTAGACTTTATTTGATAAACATCTGTTTTAACTAAAATAAAGTGTAAAAATACTGTAGGCTGTTTAGTTTTGTAACTTTTAAAGAACATATTTTAACACGGATAGAGCCATTTTATTTACATGCAAAGCATTCTGGGTAAATGATGACGTGGATAGGTCCTCGGTGCGAGGCTGCTAGCGAGCTATATCCACCCTGAAGGTTAATCTTGGACAATATCTGACGATCGGCTATTTTAAATGAAACCAGAGAGCGTTGACAGAGAGGAGAAGGTAGAAATGACTCAGRCTGTAACTGAAAATATGGATGGAGGACAACAGAGCTGCTTCATGGAAGAAGAACCTCAGCTTAGCCTGTTAGTCTTTGCACTAGTGCTGACCCTATATGTATTAGCTCAGCGCTAGCACGACAAACAAGCTAAACTGTTGTCCTCCATCCATATTTTCAGTTACAGGCTGAGTCATTTCTACCTTCTCCTCTCTGTCAACGCTCTCTGGTTTCATTWAAAAGAGCCAATCATCAGATATTGCCTATTAAACTTCAGGGTGGATATAGCTCACTAGCAGCCTCATGCCGATGACCTAGTTGATGTCATCATTTACCCAGAATGCTTTGTGTATAAATAAAATGGCCCCATCTGTGTAATATATTTTTTAACTTCTAATTTAAAAATGATAAAAACTAAACAGTCTGCAGTATTTTAGAACCTTTATTTTACAGTTAAAATAAAAGTTTATCTAATAAAGTCTAATGTTACAACTAATCGGGGATCCCTTTAATGAGGCACTCCCTACGTCACAAACAGAGCTTCAGCATGGCAGGTGTGTTGCAGTTGGCAGCTCTGCTGCCATTCATTATAAGCTTTGCTTACAGGGACTTTATTCAATGCCATGACAAGAGACTGGCAAAATGCAAAGTGCGTGGAGTCCAAATCCAAAATTTGTTTTTGTGATTACGTAAGGATTCTGGTTCATCATCTTCACTGACATGCTTTTAGGCATTTAAAAATATTTTTTCTGGTATTTTATTGTAAAATCAGCAGCAGACATGTTGGATTAGTTCCTTGTCAATGAAAAGATGTAATTACAACATGCTTTTGTAAGACTACAAGTGCAAAATACAGTTACCAATACTCTAAATGCTTGATTGTTATTTCAAACTTTCAACCTTATCTGCATTTTAAAAACAGTATTATGTTTTAATAGTATTATTAAAACACAATACTATGTTTTTAATATTTTATTAAAATATAGTATTATAGAATATAATCTAGTATAGTTAGAATACCTTTGATCAAACTGCCACTTAAGTAATACATGCAACTAGACGTGGACTTGAGGTCAAGAGACTTGAGACTTGACTTGGACTTGCAAAAAAAGACTTGCGCACATCTCTGGTGTACACATCAGAGGATAGTACAAACTGTTATGTATCAGAGAGATTAGATGTAGTTTTATGATGCCCAAAGGCTCTTTCTCACTAAAGTTTAATACAATTTATTCCATCCATCCATCCATCCATCCATCCATCCATCCATCCATCCATCCATCCATCCATCCATCCATCCATCCATCCATCCATCCATC